TGTTAGACGGATATACCCTCGCTAGTTATTTGGAAAGGTTGCTATATTTTTGGAATACGTGATCACACGGTTTGGAGAGTTGGGATGGTATTCCTTTGATGAATGGGTTGAAGGGGGGGAATAGGGTTTTGGATGCTGTATCTACTGAAGTGTATGTAGGGTTTTGCAGACGACGTGAACATAGTTGGCCCTGGTAAGGTATGTCACACTATCACACTCCCTTACGTTTCAGTGTATCATGTGCGTGTACTGATTGTTCTGACATTCGTAACAGTTAACCTCAGACATTCTGTGCATTTCAATGGTGGATTATACTTGTTCTTCAACTTTTTTTAACATTTGTTAGGTTGCGTATATTGTTAGTATTCAGAAACATGGGGGGGCAGAGATATCAATTGGTAAAACTGTCCACGTCACTATGCATTACTGTCCACTCCTTCCCGTACTGATTTGGCAATTGTGTCCCTTGCCGCCGTTGAACACAGGTATGTTCAAAATTTTGTATTACAAAGTCATCCCTCATCATTCCCACGCATTCATACCAGTGCACAAATCAATGTCGCTGTTATCACACCGACAGTCGAACGAGAACGGAGAAACATTGGTACCTATGTTTGACGCCAACAGTGCAACAGTCCACTGATATGCTCAAAAAGAAAAACATAGGGATCATACACCTTGGATGTGGGGAACCTTTGATGGGCTTTTGACCATACTTTCTCCAGGAGTAATCATCCGGTGGTATGTCGGCCAACTTCACACTTATTGCCGGCACTCTCACCACTCTCTTCACCTTCAATTTTCTAATCACAAAAAAAAAAAAAAAAAACACTCAATGAAATCCATAAAATACAATAATTATAACAACAATTAACTATTTGATGATGTGAATAATGAACCCTATCTTTTCTTAGAACGATGGCATCGCCCTGAGGACGCACCGCACTTGGCGATCGCATCGTCCATCGAACTGCACTTCCTCTTGGACAGCGGCGGCCGACCAGCCGACGACGGGTTCGTAATCTGAAATGCCGATGACATCGAATGCTGCAGGTTGTTGGTGTCTCCCGTCAGAGACGACATGAACGAATTCGGCAGCGATGCCACCGCCACGAAATTGATCATCTTTGCTAACTCCTTCCGATCAATAGATCCGTTTTTCACTTGGTGATTGTAAAGACGATGAGGCAATCTTTGAATCGGCTTCGGACAGTAAACTCCAGGAACCGAACCTTGCTTTTCCTACACCGACTCTATTTCATAGGTCCTCTACTGCTGTTAGTGAGGAGTCACAGGGCCTCTTCTGAAGCGATCGTGACCGGTTTGAGTTCGATCGAGAAACAAAATGAACTATAACATGAACCCACTCACTCTATCTATAACGTCAGTTTCGGAATTCGTGTTGTGAGAAATCCGAAACGAAAATCCGAAACCATTTTAGTGTGCCTTATTTCGCGTGTTCACGTCACGTATGAAACCACGTTCTACTTCTGTGAGTGTTACAAACCTATTAAATTAAAAAAAGGTATTAATGTGTTTTTTCGATCAACGAGACACACAAACACCTATTCACCTTCCCTATACAAACCCACACCAATCAACCAATAATACTAGCAGTGGCAAAACAGTCAACAAACAAATTAAGGGACCATCCAGTCACCAAGAAAACATTTAGGACCTTATGGATTACAAGTTCACAAAATGGGATTTAGTGGTCAATTCCCCTTGCTTTTTAGATTGACAAAAGACTTACAACCCACGACAAAATGTTTTGAATCCTCTTAATGTTATGAGTGAGCATGATTTAGATTGATTTGATTGGGATAAAATCAGGATCAATCCATTGTGTATGGTTCTATAAAAATTAAAACCAATCCAGTTCATTTAAATCGTAAAACCAATTTGAACCAAACCATTTAAACACGGTTCAGTTCGGTTTGGAATCACGGATTCACATGATCTATTAACAAAGAAAAATCATATAACATTTTCATTTCATAATTTTTTAAAACATAAACATGCATATTATTCAACCATTAATTTAAATGGCCCTATTTGGCAAGTGACTTTTTGACTAAAATCCACGAAAAAATAAAATAGACTAAAATAGTTAATAAAACAAAATATCACATCAAACCCATAATCATTTTATTTTTTCTCTCACAAACCTCACATCCAAATATAAAAAATACAACCATCTTCCTAAACATACAAATTTTAGTCTACTAAAATAGGCACAAACTAAAATAGCCAACTTTCTAAACGAGACCATAATATCTAGTTTCACAATAGCAGCAGGCATCACCAAATTTCAAAAAAAAATTAAAACTGGTTCCACCATTAGACCGTTACAAAACTAAAATTTCAAAAAAAAACAACAATAGCAACAAAATTTCATAGCAGCAAATTCCTCAGCAATAGCAATATATAGCATAATTGGTTTTATATATAGAAGAAGTATGATAGTATGTATCAGGGGTATATGATATGAATATAATCTAAGTTGCATACGGTCCAAATCGATTCCAATCCGGAACCGTGAAATGTAATCCAAAACCGATCCGCGAAATACGATTATTCAATTCTTCAATCCAGAACCGAACCACGGATTCAAAAAATCAATCCAAACCTATCAAATTGGATTAGACCAGATTAGTTTGCGAATTTTAGGAATTCCTTACTCAATCCTACTTAATGTTGTATAAATTAATAAAATTTTGTAAATTTTTGTTACTTATAGATATGATCCATTATGTAATTTTATAATTTAAAATAAGAATCACTAAAATAATATATTTAGAACAACTCATTTAATATGAATTATTAATTTGTATAGAATTACTCATCCTCTAAATAATGTTTCCTTGTCTCTCGAACGCACCAACTCTTCTCCGCCACTTATGCCATCTAGAGAAGTCATACCACTTTGAAATTAGGTTTACAACAATACCAATGAAATAATAGAGAAGTCTCAATTTGGCCGAACATAATACAATAATTGGTGGGTTATATATATAATTCATGAAATAATATCATGCATCGTAACTCTTCTTGGTTTTGACCCATGATCATAATGATTATAAATCAAATTAATGGCTCATATTTATTTTTTTAAGATCCAACCACTAAAAATGGTGGTGCATATAGTATATTAGGAAGAAATTAACATATACGTCATGTGATTGAAATGACATAATGACACCCTTTCACTCATTAATTGACAATAAAAAATGAAAACAAGATTTGACGTACCCGAACACTTAAAATCTCAAGCTGAGCAAAAAGTGACTTCTCAAGTCTTATTTTAATCACATGTCAATTAATAAATGAAATGATACACCACATCATTTCAAACACATAGCATATCTGTTACATTAAATATTTTCCCGTGTATTAGTATGCACCTTTTCTTTGTGGTGTGTATTGTAATCTGACCTTACATATTGTTATGAATCTAGTGTGGTTTGGTCCTTAAGAGTTATGGTGTATTGTGTGGGTAATTTTCTAACCACATTGCCAAATAGGTATCCAGTTAGAGAGCACCGGTAGAATAGATTAAGTCCGAAAGACCTGCAACAGAAAGAAGAGTTTCCGGCGGTGACTCGTCCACCCGGGAGCACTCCGACGATCAAGTCAGTACTTAATATCTCTCAAAGATAACTAATAGTGCTTAACTCACTAGACAGAATATCAAAAGCATTCCTTAGACCCATGGGGGTGCCTCCCTTTTATAGCCAACACAATCCTAGTCCCAATAGAAGCCTAACTCTAATGGACTTAGGATTACTGCTAATCTTGGACTCTCCTAGTCCCAATAGAAGCCTAGCTCTAATGGACTTAGGATTACTGCTAATCTTGGACTCCCAGTAGAATTAGGATAAACTCTCTAAGAGTCTCATCTTTACCACTGAAGTTTTCTCCCATTCTAGGACTCTTGTCCCTTATCCGCTTATCCCGGATTCCGGTATTCTCGCAGATAACCTCGGCCTAGCCGACATCATCTCAGCATCATGACCAGGACACGTGACACCTCGGCTGACACTTCGGTGTCACCTCGACCACGTGTTGTCATTCAAAAATTATATCCCCACATGTATTATTATTTATTATTTAAACATCAAATCTTGTCTCTTGTCTAGAATTTGTTCCATCTCTCTAATACATAATGATTGGTACCTCTCCATGATTATTTGCTCTAGAGATGCATGCATAGCCAGCCATATACTGTAGTTGAAATGTCAAATTTCTCAAATTGCTTCTTCAAAGGTGGAATTCTTGCTGAGAGGATAATAACATCAATAATTGGGGTGGCAATGAGGCATACAGTTCTTATTCCTCTGTAACCCTTATTTGTAATTTCAGTATTCATCACCAAATAAACAATAATCAAAGCTCAACATTGCCCACTTCCATGACATTAAAAAAATTAATAAATAAATTCACAGACTGCCTGTTGTCGCCGAAAAATGCTACAAGAATCATCATAGAAAAGGTAGAATGATCCCCACTGACAGCTAGCACATTCACATTGCTATGACATGAATAGGTTTTGTTCTTATAAATATGTTGAATTCAAGTTGAACCACCATTGCCATTCAAGCCTCACTTGATTATCAAGCTTTTTTCAGTAATAACAATGGCAGTTTCATCTACATCACTTGGTTTGCAATACCATGTTAGGTCTATTAGCTTGCCTGCTAGGTTACACACTCATTTTACAAAAATTGAAGTTGAATTAAACAAGCTTAAGACCTGGGAATCATCAGTAGTTGGCATGGTTCCGTTAAGTGCTGAGACCAAGGTTTTAAAAAGCAGTTGCGGTCGCCGTAACGGTGGCGGTGGCGCGGTTGCGGTTGCGGGGTGTAAAGGCCGTAGTGTAACAGTTGCGGTAACCGGAACCGTGAATTTTTTTATTTTTCGCACAATTTGAAAAAAACTTACCGATACGCATATTTCTTTTCCATGATCATATTTATTGGGTTAAAAAGTCAGTCATATTGATGGACTCGTGTAGCGTTGCACAAGACTTGTTTTTGATGATGAAGGAACATGTGCAAGATCTTCAATCAGCGTTGCGAAGGAAGGGTGGAGATATAAGCATTGAAAGCAACATTAATGCTTACATGTGTTGCAAAAACAAAGTGAACAAGGAAAGCATAAAGCATCTTGGTGTATTGAAGCAAATGGAAAGAAAAATTGTTAGATCCTCCTCTTATCCTCTCTTACATGTGAATCACTACTTATCAATGGTGATTCGAGTTCTAGGAGAAGCAACTTCCATTACCATCTCTGTCCTGCGAACCCTCTGGTTGTTCTTTTCAGTGTCAGCTTCAAAGACAAAACCTAGTGGATGGTCATTGGCCTCGAGGTTATTGCTCACACGGCCGGTAGCTTCTGAGAGAGGCAGCAAGGTTTTGAATGAGGTGGGGAATGTTGATAGCACGCTTCAATCCTTGCATCGATGCATTCGGAGCAATGATGTGAAGGGTGGTGTACAAATGGCAAGAAAAAGACTACAAGCACTTGATGCTAGCATTGAAGGTCTCGAAGCTGGATTATATTGTCTTTTTAGGCGACAAATTCAGAATAGGGTTTCCCTTCTCAACATTTTAGCTCACTAAAAATGTGTATGAACCACTATACATATCTAGAATCGGTCATTAAATCCGCTTTTTTAAGGATTTGCTAGTGATCCAAATCCTACTTTTGTATGATTTGGTGGCATATGCCAGAGTATATTACAAAGAGATTTAAATTTATTGCATAACGACTATAATTGCTTTAAGAAATTGCTAATTAGAAAATGATATTAGCTAAATAACAAAATTATCCCATCTCATCCAGAATCCAATGTACAAGAAGGATTACTAGGATCAGTCTACAAATTTGTGGCACTGTAGTAGAATCACTGGCGAAGTCATCAACAGGCAAGTAAGGGCAGTAGTCCCACTGACTATTTGAAAATTATCTTTTTACTCATAATTTCTAAAATGGTTTTCAAAATTGCTCCCGTTAGAGTTTTGAAATCTAAAACTTACCCATATTTAAGAAAAATATTTCCAATTTGCACCTCCACTATTTTTATTGCCCTGAGTTTTATGCCTTTGTTTTATTTCCCTCTCTCTCTCTCTCCCTAGTCAAATAGTTTTTTTTTTTTTATCAGCAAAGAAAATGATTTATTGATGAAGAGAAAGAAAGAAGGGACTTGACTGAAATGCATCATAGCTCAAGAATACATCCCAACTATGTTGGCACGTATAAATAAGCCCAATCACATGCAAGCCAAGGCTAATACAAGAAGTTGAGGAGAGTACAACCAAACTAAAGAAAAGAAAAATAGAAAACTACAAAACCCATCAACCAGCCAGAGCCTTCAATTTATGATCCTTCAACACATCCAGACAGAATAGAAAATCACGAATAGCAAAAATAATATGAATTGTGTTATGGTTCTTGATAACGCTTTGCCCTTGCTGAACAAAAATCCAAACTCCACCCTTGAATTGTATCATTACCAATGGCACATTGTGCACCTATGTGGGGAAAGACATTGCAAGCTTTATTTGGGTTTGAATCAGTTTATATAAATAAAGGCCAAAAGCAAAAATGAGTGAGAATTTGGGTTCTGAATCCAGTTATTTTCGGAGCCTGAATGATTAAATTTTTTAATAATTCTAAAAGTAATAATTAATTAATGGAAATCTAAAGTTAGATAGTGTAAATTGTTTACATATATGTGCAGGCATATTCGTATCTGACAAAATCAGCCAATAATTTTGATTCTTGCCAGTGATTTGCACTAATACAAGAGGACAATGCCATAAAAAAAAAATTTATTTGGTATAAGAACCGATTGTTCCATATGTTTAGTTTTAAATTGTGTAGTAATAATGCATCCAGTTATGCTATTGAGTTGTTTATGATGGATCCATCCATGAACTTTGACACAATTGTATTGGCATGCACTTGTTACTTGCCTGGAATTAATTAAGGCACAGTTTGTATTGGCATGGAACTTGGGAGGGATGGTTTACCAAGCATGTATGATGTCATGGAACCCTAGGGCACTGTAGAAAATGAGACCTATATATATTGCATTTTGCATAACATAAGCACAAGAAGTTTCATTATGTAGTATAAATGTGTATTTGTTTTTTGTTTGTTGGTTTCTCTTTTTTCCAGGGCGAATTACACTAACAGTTCCTATAATTTGAAATTTGTGTCATTTTGATCCTTAACTTTTCAATTGCAATACATTTGATCCTAAATTTTGAATCTTGTTCTAAATAAGGACAATTGAATATACTATTGCTCTATTTCAAAGGCAAAGTCATCAATTTGATAAAATATAAACTAATTTGATAAAAATAAATGTCAATTTTTTTTTTGAAAATTTTAAATTATTTCTAACCATCAAAGATAAAACTATGTAAAATTGATAAATCTTTTACACACTTATTTATTTTTTTACCAAATTAATTTTTGTTATATGTTTGGATGATAATCATATAATGGATAGTTGTTAAGCTTTTAATGTGTAATCAATATATTTAATATATGAAATGTTTTTAGTTTTTGATTTTTTGATTTAATGGATTGATTTAATAATGATATCAAAGTTGTCGTCATATTTGACTTTTGAAAAAACAAAAACCTATTTAATGAAAATTAAAAAAATCACATATTATATGATCATCATCAAAACACATAATAAAAATTAATTTGATAAAAATAAATAAATAAATGTGTAAAATATTTATCAATTTTACATAATTTTATCTTTGGTGGGCAGAAATAATTTTTAAAAATTAAAAAATATTTTTTTGACATTTATTTTTATCAAATTAGTTTATATTTTATCAAATTGACAGCTTTGCCCTTAAGATTGAGCAATGGTATATTCAATCGTCCTTATTTGGAACAAGATTCAAAATTTAGGGTCAAATGTATCACAATTAAAAAGTTAAGAACCAAAATGATACAAGCTCCAAACTATAGGAACATTTAGTGTAATTTGCCCTTTTTTCTTTTTAAAGTAAAACTATATTGTTTCAGGGTCTTGATTTTGAGGTCATTTTATTTTAATTTTTACTCCAATCGTTATATTATTATGTGCTTTACTAACGCGCCTTGTTGTAATAAATTAAATGGTGAATTGAATCTTAAGATTCACTTTAGTTAACATAATATATAATTATATATGTATATCTATATTTCAATATTTAAAAAGAAGAAATTGAGATAGAGCTCAGTTAAACAGTGGGAAAAATCAAAAAATGAAAAAAAAAAATGGAAATAATTAATTCGAAACTAATACATAAATTTCAATGCAAAGAAAATTGATACAGAAACTTAGCCATAATGGAGATTGTGAAAAAGAGATGTCTATTTTTTTAACCTCAAGTATTAAGATTCAAAAGTTTTGAAATTTTGTTCTCAATATTTCTTGGCAAACAAACAAACCCAAATACAGTGAAAAATCATACAACTAATATGCTTATCAAAAGAAAACCAAACAATAAAAAAATTTATTAAAATAAAATATTAACTAAAGAATGTAAAATAGGAATAAGAACTATGCAAATTAATAAAACAAATTAAATAACAAAAAATAGAAATGTCAAAAGGAGAAATTGTGAGAAAGGAACCTATGCATATTTTATTACTGTCAATTAAACCAAAAAAAAAAAAACAGAAAATAACATAATACAAAAAAAGTTTGATTAGAAACTAACAATACTATACTTTTGATTGCAAAGAAATCTGAGAGAGATTGTTAGTCTCAACAGAGATTGTGAGAAAAAGATGTTTGTTTCTTCTAATCTCCGGCAATGAGATCCAAAATATGAATTTGCAACCAAAATCAAATAATAAATATATATATACATATTAAAAAAATAATAATTTAGGAAATTTTAATAAAATTAAATATTAAACAATGAAAGGAAAATAAAATTTTAAAAAGAAGAAATTGGGAGAAAAACACCTATTTAAATTTCAATACTATCAGTTAAACGCCCGCCGGGGGGGGGGAGATGGAAAAATGAAAAAATATATATGGAAATAATCAATTTGAAACTAATATATAAATTTGAATGTAAAGAAAACTAATACAGAAACTTAGTTGCAATAGAAATTACAAGAAAGAGATGCCCATTTATTTTTAATCTCAAGCATTGAAATCCAAAAGTTTGGAATTCCGCTCTCATAATTTCTTAGAAAACAAACAAATAAACCAGAAGACAACAAAAAACCATACAACAAATAATATACTTATCAAAAGGGAACCAAATTGTGGGGAAATATTTTCTGAGTACCAACACGTGGCAAGGTGACTCCGACGTGTCAGCCGAGGTGCCACGTGTCTTGGTCGTTGTGCTGAGGTCATCTCGGCTAGGCCGAGGTTGTCTCCGAAGATATCGGAATCTGAGATAAGCGGATAAGGGACAAGAGTCCTAGAATAAAGAGGGAACTCAACTTGGATATGGACAAGAGTCCTAGATTGGGAGAAGACTTCAGTTTGGGTAAAGATAAGATTCTTAGAGAGTTTATCCTAATCCCACTGGGAGTCCCAGATTAGCAGTAATCCTAAGTCCATTAGGGCCAGGCTCCTATTGGGACTAGGATTGTATTGGCTATAAAAGAGAGGCACCCCCATGGGTCTGAAGTATGCTTTTGATACTCAAGCTTGTGAGTTTAGTATATAATTTATCTTTGAGAGATATACTGACTTAATCGTCGAAGTGCCCCCGGGTGGTCGAAACCACCGCGGGATTCTTATATTTCTGTTGCAGGTCAGTCAGGTGCCATATATTCTGCCAGTGCTCTCCAGCTGGTTACTAAGTGGGCAGTGTGGTCAGAAAATCACCCACACAATTTGGCGCCGTCTGTGGGAAAGAAAGAAGAATAGATGGTCAATGACGGACAGAAGGATCAGACTAGAGACAACGCTCTTACTGGGAATAGAAGATCTATCAACCTCGACGTTGAAGGGGACAATAGCAACACAGAAACTCGTGACCAGAGTCACGGAGTGAAAGAAACCGGTCAGGAAGGTGACGCACCAAAGACGACAGATCAAAGCAACGGAGATGACCTCTAGGTATGCAAGGATAGATACTTGTGGAGGAACGAAGACCCTTCCAGAAGGGATGCAAAGACAGAGGGCATGAGCGCTCCCAAGGAAACAACATTCAAGTATAGAAGAACTCATCCTGAGTGAGCAGATCTCGGATTCTAGATCCTGGATCCCGGATCCGAGAAGACATGATCTCATCTTAGACAAGTAGGCCCGAGAAGACGAGAGCTCAACCTAAGTGAGCAAGATAAGATCTCGGCACCTGAATCCGAGAAGAGAAGAGCACAATGAGCAGATCTCAGATCCCAGAAGATAAAAAGAAAAACACACAAGATCAGACTAAAGTTGGCCAGAATTGAGAAGTATGCTAGGGCCAAGGAGGATATGGCGGAAACAAAGGCATCGGAACAAGAAAAGAGAAACGGCTTGCCGATGCGAGGCCGAAAATCAAACTCAGGTTGGAGCCAAGTAAGATCAATAGAGAAACTAAGGCTGACAACCTCGGCTTGAATTCGACCTCGGCGACAAGGTCGAAGCTACATG